CCTGCACGCTGTTTCTCTCTTGCACGCCCAATTGCACGCTTTTTTCGGATGTGATATATACGTAAATATATACATACATATATATATATGTATATTTATCCTACAGACACTCTTGATACGTGTGTGTGTGTGTACTATATATATATATATATAGTACACATATATTTATACGTATGTTGAAACCCATATATTGTTCATGTACAGTTAACAGATCTTGCCAGTATTTCACGTAATGTTCGTTCACGAACGTTTTGCTTTTTCTCTTCTATAGTGTGTAATAATCGGGCTGAATCAGTCGACTTGAAGGTGTATGCCTCGTAGATCGTACAATTGTGATCTGTGACATCGAAACGCTCGTTGAAAATCTGCTTCGGGGGCGAGTTTCGACTCGTTGCTTCAAACTCTTACATATACGCCTAGACACGATCACACACACAATACATACATACATATATACATACATATATACATACATATATACATACATATATATATACATATATATATATACATGCATACGTACAGACTTCTGTACACCATACGTGCACACAGAGACACAAACTTTGTCGCTATGCCCCCCCTCTGCCCCAACTCTCCACTATCGCTCGGTTTCTCTAACTCTCTGTCTGTCTGTCTGTCTGTCTGTCTGTTTCTCCTGTCTTCTCTTTGGGACACGCTCGCGGAGAAACTCGTGTTCGGACTGGTTTCGAATTGGCTGCCGCGAAATTAAACGGGAATCCGGCGTCAGATTAGGATTTTTCGTTTAATTTTGCGCTCGGCGGCCGCGGGATCGGGCTCGATGTCACAGCAGCGAGACCGCTTCTACGTAAAAAAAAGTTACCGGTGCCGTGCTGACTTTTAATCTTTCGCGCGCGCCTGTATTGCATCGTTCAGTATTAACATATCCGAGTGGTAATCTCGATTGAGTATATTGTGTTTTATATACGTACATACGGCGATGCCTGTTTCGATTCCGGATAGATCTCTCTCTACAAGCCGAGCCAGTTCCATCGCTCTTCATTATTAGTGTCTCGAGTTCCCTGTGATATAATCCTATTGGTAAATATGGCGGGCAGATGCGAGCACTGGTGAGCCAAAATACGGAGTGCAAGCGAAATCGGGAGGAAATCAAGAATGAAACGTGAAATTAAACGTGTTCGAGGAACTTTAACTACGTCACGGCATGTTGCGACTGACAGCGTATCGCTTCTGTTTAATTCGCTCTGCCTGTCTCATTTCCTCGCCGATCGAGAGGACTCGAGGATATTTCTGAAACGAAATCTGCTCCATCTGTTCTACGATTATAGCATCGTAACGTGAACGACAATTCGTTGGAATTTAAACGAGCATCATTGTATGTATATATATATATATATATATTATTATTATTCTATGTATATCGATTTCCTATGGTACTCTTTTACGTTAGATCGTTGTACAACGACACCTCGAATACACGATATTTCGCCTATATAGCTAGAGTCGTGCTCTTTTGTCCCGTTTTTCGAATGAACCGTCCACATTTGTTGCTCTCTCGATATTTGTGTTGTATTATCGTGTATATCAGTCACGTATTTGACCGATTCTGACCGAGTTATATTATATATATATATATATATTATATATCACTATCACTGTCCAGTAGAACAGTATCTTTTTTATGAAAACTATGCTATGTTTTCGCTCGAGATATTCTCTATGATTTGTGTACTGTCATCATTATCATCATTATTATCATTCAAGTTACATTGAGACCGTAGTAGTATAAATTCGTATTTGGACGAAATCGGTGCGAGAGATCTCGAAACATCGACGCCGATGCATGAAACCGATTCGAAACATTATATGTTATTACGCGTTCGGTGTATTATTAATTAACGTTTGTCCAAAGGAATGAAACGCGCGATCGAAAATCTTCAAATTCAGCTGCATTCGCCTGTGAAAGCCTTTGTACATCTTGTGAAAAGACCATTCTCATTCAAATGGGACATGCATGCACGCCGTTTAAACGACACAATAAATCATTTTCAACTTTTCGATGCGATTCGACAGAAATTAAATAAGATAAAGCATCGACCGATCGACCATGCATGAGAATGGACAAATTTTGCAACGAAACTCTCTCGAGTTCCATTTCCACGAGAATGGGAGTTTCTCAGCGTGTACGAAGATCCTCGCAGGCGACTGTACCTGCGAGGCCTCTCGTGCTTTTTCGTCCCACTTAGTTTTCCACGCTCGTTTCGATAATTGACTGCCCGGCGTCCTATATAGTTGCTGGTAAGTAAACTCATCAATCAAATTCGAATGAGAAAAGAAAGCCAAACGATCACGACGACGAATTGTCGTGCTGATCGAGCACCTCTCGCGTCGACTTGCGAATCGAACGAAATCGAACGCGAAAGACGCGCCAGGGAAGCGAACAACGAGCGAACCGCAGGTTCAACGATTAATCCCATTGATGAAAAAAGCCGGTTCGTCGACGAAAAACGTACACACCGTATAGTCGCACACTGGACAGTCGCGTCCGGTTTCGCCTTACTTTCGCCGAAGACACATTAGCAGCTATTCCCCGGCTCATAAATGTTCATTTTCCGGGCCACGGGGTACGTGGTAGCGCGGCCTCTCTGACCGAATATTTACGGCCGGGCCGCCATTTTTCACGGACTCAGGCCGGGTTAACGTTGCACCTGTCCAGTGTCCACGTCCCGGAGGTCACGTAGCTGGAAACACGTAGCAGAAACTCCAAGTTATCGCGGTTATCAAGCACCACCGCCGGTTCTTGTACAAACGCGCCACGGACCAGCTCGAAAATTTCGTTCCGGCGGTATAGATCGCCGGTGTTTGGTCAGACAACGAAATAGAGCGGCCGCACGATATGAACCGTTGCACCTGGCTGGCGAATCGATGCGGATTCGATCAAACAACGTGATCACGAAATTTCGTACTTCGTGACCTCCTGCGCGCTCGTTTCGCGACGAGATTTCGATCACAGCGCCGCATCGCGTAGGGGCATGAGGGGAGGGCATGGACGGGAGAAGGTGGGGGAGGGAAAAGCGAAGCAAGATCGTGGAAATTGCAGGAGCAAATAGAGTGTATTATACGGAGTATTACGCGGAGAGTCGCGCGGGCACCCGGCTTCTTTTTGCAGATTGTTTTTGAATTGTC